TGCTAAATTAGAAACAGAAACGGCTTTGTTAAAGATTACTTATCGATTAACAGGTTCTCAAGAAGCTCTGGAAATTGCGTTAATTATTACCGAAATTACGTAAACCAAATATATTTATTAAACATACCAAACATTTTTAGATGACGATATTTCATACCTTGAATAACAAAGGGATTAATTAGCCAAGGTAGTTCGTTGTTTTCCAACTATCGTTTCTCTGTTGTTTTCACTTTTTAATTTGTTCAATTTTTATTATTTTGATTGTCGTCTCGACGTGAAGAATGTGTTCCATACGTTCTTCTCATAGTCAAGTTTTAAATAACACGGAGCGATCTTTTCAAAGTTGTGGCTACGTTGAAGAGAGGAATTTCAATTGAGAGTTTTCTGAGGGTCGCGAGGGGAAGGATCTCGTCATCGTAAATAAGTTTTTATTTTTTTAAGGATATTTTTTCAGTCCTAATCCAACGTTAATTTTTTCTACAGGAAAATTCATTTAATATTAGTACTAGTTAGCAAAAGGACCTATTTTTTTAGCTTGCTAAAGTAAATTTTGCTGTGTAAAAAAATTGCTCATATTTGTGGTTTTCTCAATTCTGAGTAATTTTGCCACTATGAGTGAAAGCTTAGTGCTTGGTATCTATTAGAACGGAAAATTTATTAGGAAAGCAGTGAAAACGCGAATTTTTATCCTTCTCTAATACAGTATATAATTAAATCGAACACTTTGCGCATTATGAAAATTTATTTATAGGTCATAATTCGAAAATAATGCGTACATCCGTCACACGCCAACTTGGGATTTACTCTACGGTAAATGAAACTAACATTTCATTAACTTTTTCTGACGTATTCTGACCTTTATGTGGCATTTCCTGACATTTTATGGTTTCGTTATCCAGTGCATAGAGAAGAAGACGTGTAAACAAACTCTTTTATACATGTCATTTTTTGTCATGTTTCTCGTGACATATAGTCACGAGAATCGCTTTCCACCGAAAACTTAAGTATATGCCTTCATTAAGTAAATTTTATCTTCTTCCAGTTGTTGCACGAGATTGAAAGAAATAATTTCTGAGATTACAAAACATCTTTTGATCTTCACAATTTTTAATCGAGATAAAAAACAACTTTTAATCTCCACAATTTATTCTCAGCACATCTCTATTTCAATGAGGCCTGATCTATAAATTACAGTTTCTGCTAACAAGGGAGTAAAGAAAATTAAAATAATTTATTTTCATGTTTCAAGTTTCATGTTCTCCATTCAATTTTAAAGAACTAAAAGCACTTTAATTAAAGGAAACCGATACTTCTACGACATTTTTAGCCATCATTTTTTCTCCAAAACTAAACTGAGTATCTGTCCACGTAACCAAACCCTTTAGCTCATTTAATTAGGTCTTCACATTATATTATTTCCTAAATTAACTAATAAATGAGATTCAAGGCACGAATATACGTCATACATGTAAGAATTTGTTAGGGTATAAGGTCCGCTCCATGTCCCTGGGATTTATTAATCCCCCATGAACAACAATTCCTCATTTGGCTCACGCAAGTTACCAGCCCAATCAGTTGCGGACGGCTTCTGAAAGTCTAATCCCTGAAAGATGATGATTGAGATAGTGAAGCGTGATGATAGAGGTAGCGAAGGGTGATAATAGAGGTAGTGAAGGGTGATAATAGAGGTATTGAAGGGCGATGATAGAGATAGTGAAGCGTGATGATAAAGGTAGTGAAGGGTGATGATAGAGGTAGTGAAGGGTGATGATAGAGGTAGTGAAGAGTGATAATAGAGTTAGTGAAGGGTGATAATAGAGGTAGTGAAGGGTGATAATAGAGATAGTGAAGCGTGATGATAGAGGTAGTGAAGGGTGATAATAGAGGTAGTGAAGGGCGAAGGTAGTGAAGGGTGATAATAGAGGTAGTGAAGGGTGATGATAGAGGTAGTGAAGAAATGTACTGAATGGTGAGGATAGAGCTAGGGTTGGGTGAGGATAGAGGTAGGGAAGGGTGATGATAGAGGTAATGAATGGGGATGATAGAGGTTAAGAAGGGTGATGATAGAGGTTAGGAAGGGTGACGATTGAGATTAGGAAAGGTGATTATAGCGGTTGGGAAGGGTTGTGAAAGAGGTACTGAATATTGAGGAAAGAGGTTGGTAAGGGTGATGATAAAGAGGAGAAAGGCGATGATTGTGATAAGGAAATGGGATTATAGAGGTTGTGAAGGGTGATGATCTAGGTTGGGATATTTGCAGACCACAAAAATGAGTCTTACGTTGTTCGGTACTCGGTCTACTATACAGAATAAAACCGGCGATGAACTTCATGCTTTTCCCTTCCTTTCCAAAAATTACGCAATATTGTTGCCAGGAAGAAAATATCATTATATAAGAAAACATTTAAAGGTGATAACACTGCTCATTTCAGATAAATACTTAATAATATAGCAACTGCAAAAAAATATTACAATATTTTAATGAAGAGATTTCGGTTACAAGTTATATCGACAGTTTAAGAACTCAATAATATTAGTATGACCAATTCCTACCTCTAGATATGCGAGTTATTTACGAGATTAAAGCTATATCAGCAAGTGAAATGCAGTGACACGAGATATGAACAAAAGTTCGTCCACCTATCTGTTACAAATTTCAAACATATAAAAATTATGAGCGTTTTCTAATAAGTTTTCTGATTACAAATTCACTAAGGATTCCAAAATCCTACCGTCAGATGTAGCATTAAATACAATTTAAAATCTTTAGCAGACACTGAAAGTTGCACTTTTCAGCTCGAAAGAAAGGATTTTTCACTGTTCATTCACGAATTTTTTTTCGAAACTTCATGCACTTCTATACAGCAATACCCTTAGTAGAAATGTAAGCCAGTGGACGCATTGAATGGGCCTGAGATAATGCAAAAATTCTAAAGCCAAGATTAATTCCTTTTACCTGTCGAATTCTCAAAAAACTCGCAGTGGGACCTTTTGGCAAAGATACGGATGAGATGTTGATGAAAAGCGGCATTTGCCACCGTAAATAATATTGTTAGATAATAATTGATCTTTTCCGCTAACGTATGATTAATCATGCAAATGAAAGCCAGACAACAACTCACGATACATCAAAACTTTGTATGACACCAAGAATTCATTGACAGTGCATCAATGCACAAACAGTCGTTTATTTTAAATATCATTTGCAAACAGCTTGCGAACGAATCTATCAGCTTGATTAATTGTGACGATTTGTCTTTTAATCTGAAATCAAAGGCAGACAACCGCTGATGATATCGGTAACATTTGCTAAAATTTTCCACAGACAGCGAAGGACCTCAATGAGACTCTCGCCTTTCGTTCCGCTTAGCGGGAATCATTTTCTCGACCAAATCCCGAGACATTTAATACTTTTCAAAGGCTCACCGTGAGAGCAAATTCTCGCAATTTCAAACAATTGGAAATCCCTGTGAAGCGCTCCGAGTTACCGGCGATCACAACGAGAAAATGACGGAGCTTTCACGAGAACTGCTGGAATAATAGCCGGGGAACATCTCCCTGTCGATATTTTGCTGCAATTGTGGCCGTTTTTCTTCAGGGTTCTGACTGCAACCACATTGAATCTGGAACATTAGTTCAGCGCGCGTAAAAATTACGTCCGGTGCGCAAAACCGAAAATAACTGAACTGAGATCTGAAACTTCCGTGGACTGACTGTCCAGATTTTATGGATGTCGTTTATTTCCATTCACACAACAAATTGCGGGGTGTAAAATTACCATAGCGAAAGTTTTCGTTAAATTTGTCTAAAAATTAGGTAAAATTTTCCTTTTTTTCAGAGATTTTCACTAAATAGAGCATGGCCCTTAAAGTAACAAACGCATGTTTTGTTCTTCCAAAATCTGAGCCTAATTCTAATATTTATCTATTGGGTGAAGAAAATTTGTATACGCTGAAGAATTTTTTGCACTAGACACGAATAATATAGAAATTCACTCAGTAAAAAAATATTTCGATCACTTCTATAAATAAAGGACTGGGCCGCTATGTACACTCTCAACCTAGTATCTGTAGAAACTAAAGAGCTGATCATATTAAACAACCATTTATTTGATCCTTACAAATTCTTCAACTACTACCGATGCCTCAGAAATAGCATTCACAAATTCTTCAGATAATTACTTCAATATCTTAAATTCTTGAGGCAATAAAATAATAAACCTCGCTAATCTCGCTCGAATGCAAGTGCAAGTTGGAAAGTATGCCTTGCAAGAAATAATCCTAAAGCCAATATTAAATAGCAGCCCATTTATTAATATTTACTTATGATGAGAAAAAACTCATTGCTTTTCGCTATTTTATATTTGTCATCGACTACATTTATCATCAGTGGGTTTAATAAAGTATCACGAGGAATTTTTACGATTGTTTTAATCAACGACAAAACAATTTCATCGTAATCGAGCTTCTGAAGTTAACGAATTTAAAAAAAAAAACTTTTGTGTGTTATAAGCGCTTCTCGTTGGGATTTCTGCGAGGGACTTTCTTGTGTTGCTCCCTAAGGATTAAAACCTGAGGAAAATATGCTCTACGTTTGGAAGTTCAAAGCTCTGAGCATCCCGACCCTCTTTCGGGAATTGAAGACTATGAGCATCCCGACCCTCTTTCGGGAATTGAAGACTATGAGCATCCCGACCCTCTTTCGGGAATTTAAGACTCTGAGCATCCCGACCCTCTTTCGGGAATTGAAGACCCTGAGCATCCCGACCCTCTTTCCTCGGTTCAAAACTCTGAGCATCCCGACACTCTTTCGGGAGTTCAAGACTCTGAGCACCCCTACTCTCTTTTGAGAATTCGAGCATCGGAGTGTGCCAATCAACTTTTTAAGGCGAGGGTTGTGGATTGAATACTCCTGAAGTCAATGTTTTGTGTTTTCCTAACCAACGAAAAGGGTTACTTAATATTCTATGGTCGAAATGCAAGGGATAATAAAAAGAAAGGGCCTGTTGAGTAATAAATATTCCACAAGCCACTTAATTACACGTATCGAGAACAACAAATTCGAGTGTTAGAAGATGCATTCGGCTTCCGTACATCATGCATCTTTCATGATGGCAAATCCCTTCCTGGAATCTCGGTCTCCGTGCCATTACGTGCTACATTAAGAACTGAATGATGTATAGCATTGTCTTCTTTTTCTGATGCATTATTCTCAAGTTTAAAATAAGAACTTGGAAACGCCACTCCATTGCCATCGACTAGTGTACGAGAAGTAGTCATTTTAAGTACTGCATTAGGACTGACAAGAAGCGAGACATCGTTTCTGACTTCACAACGTGTCCCGTCATTCACAAAAGCGCCTTTCATGGTTAAATTTTCATCTTGTTGGACATCACGATACTTCTTGTTATCGACTGAATCCGGTAGCTGCCGCGTCTCACGGTTGAAATTCACTGCATCTGCAGGGGCAAAGACTTTGCAAGAATTGACAGCGCTTCCATCTTCGTTCGTCAAGAGGACGATATCGTTTTTACCACGAGACGAGGGTCCAGCAGCCACGAAACCCCTCGGTGTCTTTTTCAAGATAGGTTTGACACTCTCAACGACCCGAATCTTTTCACGGCATTGTGGAATTTCCTGTAGAGTTTTGCACGAGTTTTCCAAGGGAGCGTGTCGTGAATAACAATTGTGTGGGCAACAGACACCATCACCTCTGGCATCTTGACAGCCTTGCGGCTGCGATTGAAGCTTTTGAATGCATTGGGGGTGGGCACTTCCATGATCCCAACCGTAGGGCTTGCCATCAGCAGCCTGAGAGGGATAATTATGTGCTACATTGTGAAGAGCATAGAGCCGCTCGCCGAGCTGGCGCCATGAAAGCATTACTCTGTTGTTACCCAAGAAAAGCGAGAGCGCTATGCCTGGGGCAAGACTTGTGAATATTTTCAGCATGAAAACTTCTATTGAAGGATGAAGGAATGCGTCTGCTAGCCATTTGTCGTACTGCACGCTCCCGTAAAACGTGGCACCCACCTGCAGAGAAAGAAATTGGAATAAATTCATAAAATTGTATGAGATTTCATAAAAATAATAATCTTTTTTAGACAGAATTTTTTAAGCTTGAATGTTTGAGCTGACTAACGATGAATAAGTACCCTTTTTACCTATCCCAATTTGTTAAGTCTGTGAATGATCAGAGGATTCTTGTAACGTCCTAAGTATTTCACTTTCAGATTGTTCTTTCAAGAATAAATAGAATGCATGCACTTTCATGACTTTTTCCATGGTCAGTGTGCAGTAAAGCGCCGCTCTTTTCTACCCCAGCACAAAACACATGCCCTAACAACGACGCCTCATAAAAAGAATAACTATTGAATTTCATTTATCATCCTAATAATTCTCCTGCTCGGTTGTCTTATACAAATTATATTTTAGCTTCAGTTGCGCCGAAAACTTGCGCTGAACCCTACCCGTACTCAGAAAAGAAAATAAGTCATAGTGTATAAATAGTGTCACTATCTGTAAGTAGCACTGATACTCCCTTTTATCGGGCCTCAATGGGTCAGGATGAGCACACAAATGCAAAAACTACATAGCAATTTGGAGAAAAGTCACACTCATTTCTTTGAGTATAACCTGCTCTACATATAAAGGTAATGTCACTGAGCTAAGTGGACGTAGTAATGGACCTGAAATTAATTCCTCTTATGGAAATTCACGCTCCGGTCACCGGCCTCAGTTCCTAGGGGCATGAATAGGCATGAAGAGAATGGTGTTAAGGAGGCTTAGTGAATCAATAACGAGAGGGAATGTCAAGCGGCGCGACTTAGTTCACTCACATTCTCGTGCTATGAATCTAATTTTTGTTAGAATTCCATTGAAACCGTACGCTTTCATGTTACTAGATTATTTTTAATACTTACATTTAAGTAACAAAATTACTGTGTATTATAGTTTAAATTATTATTTTTGTTTAATTCAGTAATTTCTTTGAATAGTTTAGTATGAATAACTTTAACTGCAATTTTATCACTTCAATTCCCTTGTAATTCTAATTGAACCAAATTTCGTTCCATCATGGTCCATAAATGTTAATCATAAATCAGTCTTAAAAATGTTTCACTAATTCTATTTAAACAGCCCCTAGAACATAAGTATTTTCGGTCCATCTGACGGATGATTGGCAAAAATTTCATGTATCGTATAAAAACTATTATATAACACCCAATACAATCATCGAAAACTCATGGCAAAAATCTAAAAAAACAATCTCACCAGTACGGCAGTAGGCAGCATGTAGAGAACAGCAATCACGCCAATCCTTGCAGCTTTCTGCGCTGGACGGCGCAAAACTGCTTCGAAAAGCACAGCCTTTGGGCTTCTTTGGTGCACTTCGCCGCATTCATTCGATTTCTTCGAAGTCTTTGATTGAAATGTCGGACGTTGGCCCTCCGGGTCCGCAATTTGACGGTCTCCGCAGCGACAACTCGAGGCAGTACTGTTTGATTTAGGTTCGCCCGCGGGATGCGATTTAACCGAAGCATTTCGTCGATGCTGTCCCGCTTCTTCCGTAGTGACGCCGCTAAACTGACCGCAAGATTGAGATGGAATTTCTTTTAGTTCAGCTGATCGATTTTCTGTCTGTGTGATATCGTTGCACTGGAAGCAGAACCCGACAGTAGAAGATTTCTTCATCTTCGTGTTGCTTGATGTTGCTTTGTGTCGCTGCTTTATTGTTTTATTCTGACTTTTTCTTTCGTGGCTGGAATCTTCAATACATTGCGGCGAATGATGCAAGATTTGATCCAAATTTAACGCCGAAGAACAAAGACTTCTTGTGGAAGGACCAGGAAGGCACACGGAGAATTTAGACATGACGTGATTGTCTTGAAAATCGACATTTTTCAGCGCGTTTGTTGATGAGCTCGTTGTGGCCTCAGCATTACAAGTGGGAGGTGAACCTGTTTCCTTAAAAATGGCTTGCATCGCTGGATGTATAGGATTGATCCGCAAAATATTATCTTCATCCACGTGTTGCTGATAATCACCAGCTTTTTCTTGCGGACAACAAGAAGTGAAATTTTCTGCTCCTCTGTAATGCGGTGAGTGAACGATGGTATATTGTGCTCCACAATGATTTGTTTTATCTGGTTTACTACTTTTAGTACAGTGAACACTTCCTGTACAAGCCTGGATATGAGGCTGGATATGAGGAACGTAGCCGCCTGTATTCTTATTGCCGATTCTGTTGTTTTTACTAATACTGCTTTTAACTTCTACCCTACACTGACCACTTGGATACCCTGTTTTTGGTATCTCCATGCAGTTGTGTGTTGGTATTCTATGCGCCGAGCAACTTTGTTCCATATTCACGGTGTTACAAGGTCCAAAACTGCATCCGCAGCTTTGTTTGACAGTACAACAGGGGTCAGTATTCCCAACATAGGCTTGTGAAGAATAAGCAGCTCTTTTATTGACAGCTTGATGTGCTCTCCAGAGCCGAGCAAATGTGAGCAGGAGAAGTAGAGTACCCACGAGCAATGGCATCAGCAGGGGCAACATAACCCATCGCACCAACACCACGCTGCTGCCGTGCCCGGGATAACATGTGCCTGTGTAGAATAGCATACTTTAATAATAATAATAATAATATTAATAATTATAATAATAATATTATTATTATTAAAAAATATAATTATATTAATAATAATAATAAATTACGTGATTTATAAATATATTATTATGAATGTAACTGGTTATATTTATGCATCAATGGACTGGTGCATCATGATTTGCTAAATATATTAAAAACTAAAACACGTGCGTCAGCAGTGCACGAAAAATAATAGAAACGCGGAAATGACAGTGAGAAAACAATCCGGTGCGATTGTGTGCAGGAATAATTGAGCCGAGTTCAAGCGGAACGACAGGCAGAGTGACTGCACGTTGTTTTATGTTCATCAGTTCATCTCTCGTCAATCCCAACACGTTTGTTATGTTCTGGTCAATACAAAATGCAAAACATTAGTACTAGCGCTCGTTTAAATATCCATGATCATGGAAACTAGTAAAGTAATGAATAATCTCATGCAAATATAAAAATATAGTTGTGACTTACTTCCGTAATTTAAAACTGTAAGTCTCATAGAAAACTATTTTGTGTGATAAACGAAGTAATGCGAAATAGCCTAAAATTTTCCTGTGATTTTTAAAACGAACTTGTGCATTATGAAGATAGCTCTGAAATCTGTGTACATTAGAGTGTGTCACATGGATATTGTTTAAACAAATGGTATTCAATAAATTCCACTAAATTTTCAAAAAATTCTTGTTCAACGATTAGAAACTTGAATTTTAATTGCTATTTATTGCAGGGTCGGATGTTATTCATTTTCCAGTGTTTTGAGAAAATAAATATCAAATTTTTGCGAGAATGAATGATAATCGAATAAATTAAACTGAGTTTGCCATAAAATACACGAGTTGAATTAAATAAGTGAAAGCGTGCAAATAAAGATTAGAAACATGCAATATACATTATCGGTAGGATTAAAAATACAACATCATATATTTATCCATATGATTAGAAGAAACAGTAAGAGAATTTCATAATCGCAACTGAAAAACCTGGGATGCCTAGAATAATCGACCTCTTCTCTTTAGGAAAATGAGCTGCAATGTTAACAAATTTACTCAAAAATTTTATTTAAATTATACTCTGCCCGTCAATTTATTTTCCTCGGTTTCCTTTTTAACCTCGTACGCCAGTAATAAAAAACGGAAAAGAAAAGCTCCAATAATAAATTAAATGTTATTGACGCCTTTTTGTGCCTACTCTTTTAATGTTACATAAACAATATACAGATTACAGTTCCACGTAAAAAGTTACAGCCAGCCCAGCTTAATTTATTTTGCGTGTGAACAGAAAGCAGTTGATTGCCGCCGCTCAGTTCAATGGAGCGCCGTACGCTCAACAGAGGACCGTTGAAGATGCAATTTCCTAGGGCAGAATTTCGCAAAGCCACCACTCAAAAAATTGATGGGTGACATTGTTCAAATGAAGACACAAATGCGTCACTATTTGGACAATCCTATTTCTCCAGGACAAACTGGGTGCAGATGACGCACATAAGGGGAAAAACCGGGTCGCTCTTTGGACAATATCTCATTAATTCCTCTGTGTGAGCGCTGCAAATGGAGCAGCAGGAATAGCAGGTCTGTGCCAAATTGACCTTAGCTCTGAGCATCGACACGGCACCGCTAGATTGGATTTTTGTTCTGCAGCGTCAGCATAGTTTTGTTGCCGGGAACTGAACCCTGCGTAGGTAGGGATGCAATGTCAGGCTTTGTGATGCACCAAATGCTGGCAACAGCAGCGTGGGGTGCTGGCAACAGCAGCGTGGGGTGCTGGCAACAGCAGCGTGGGGTGCTGGCAACAGCAGCGTGGGGTGCTGGCAACAGCAGCATAGAGTGAGGTAGCTTTGAGCTAAATTTAGAGTCATGAAAACGCGCTATGCAAAGTCTGCGGCAAAGAAGAAACCTGGAGTTTAGCATGAAATATTGAGGAATAACTGAGCTTTGAGTGAAGTAATGTCAAAAATACAATGGTAAGTTGGGTCGGAGAATAAAATTCATGGTACGTAAAGTGGGGTAAGCTGCGTGAAATGAATAAATATAAATAAGAAGATGGATAGATTGACACTTGTTGCGTGTATTTGAGTAGTGCGGACACCTCATGAATATTTCACCAGGTATTCTTGGTGACTGCCTTGTGTGGATATCTTGTGCCACACAAGCAGTGTGGGTAACCGCTGTATATTCACACCGAGTAGCTGCAGCTGCAAGCGTCTGCTAAGACAATTGTTGTTGCAGCTGTTAGCTGCAGCTGCGGTAGAACAGAGTCGGCTAGAGCGGCTAGCGTGGCAAGGCGCCAGCCACCGCGGCTGTGGCATGACATGCCATATACTACATATACTGCTGTGGCAAGGCATGCCATATACTACATATACTGCTGTGGCAAGGCATGCCATATACTACATATACTGCTGTGGCAAGGCAAGCCATATACTACATATACTGCTGTGGCAAGGCAAGCCATATACTACATATACTGCTGTGGCAAGGCAAGCCATATACTACATATACTGCTGTGGCAAGGCATGCCATATACTACATATACTGCTGTGGCAAGGCATGCCATACACTACATATACTGCAGTGGCAAGGCATGCCATATACTACATATACTGCAGTGGCAAGGCATGCCATATACTACATATACTGCTATGGCATGGCATGCCATACGCTACATATACTGCTGTGGCATGGCCTGCCATATACTACATATACTGCTGTGGTAAGGCATGCCATATACTACACATACTGCTGTGGCAAGGCATGCCATATACTACACATACTGCTGTGGCATGGCATGCCATATACTACATATACTGCTGTGGCATGGCATGCCATATACACTAACGATATGTTACCTTTCCTTGAACGGCAAACACTGACCACGTTCTTCTCTCTGTTTGCCGTGTTTTTCACTTTGTTTGCCGTGTTGTTGTTGTTCTAACATCTCCCGATCTCCGTAATACAATGAGATCATTGCAATTATTGTACATGTACAAGCATGAAACATCATATAGTCATAAATACGATGACATAATTATTGATACGCTAATACAGTTACTGATACAATCATATGGTTATTTGCACAAATACATGGTAATTAATCAAATGATGTGGTTATTAATATGAATAGTTCTTAACTTATACTAAAATCTGATTATTAATTCGAAGATACAATAATTGATAACAAGACGTTATGATTATTAATAAAATATAGTTTCATATGAGTTTACAATTATTACTGTGAATATACTGTATAATTGTATATGTACCAATATGAAGATTTAGTTATTAACAAAGAGAGATAATGATAAACTTGAGCCACAATACAGGAATTATTCATATCCAGCTCTGTAAATTTTTGATCATTGAGCTATTTCCTTCATTAAACCTATTAATTAAGCCATACAAATTGTGTGTCACTAAATGAGCATCATCGTGCACAGTTTTATTTGTTTCCGAGCAATGAAATACGCGTTCATTAGTTCGGGGTAGAATATTTCACACCTTTTTGTTCTCAGCGGTGAAACAAATTTTGTATTTAATGGAGAAAATTCAGTGATCTATTGATTTTTAATAGCCTATCTTAATCTTCACGAAGCAAGCTTTTATTGTGTATAATGAACTTGCGTGAAACTGCAATAAGCTTTATAATTTCGGTCTTGATTTTTCATGAAATTCTAAGCAAGAATTGTCTCGCGGTCTTCTTCCTCTTTACCCACGCTTCTGAACAAACTGTGTAAGCAAACGACATGTTTTTGTCCCGAAGATTACACGCTTTGAAGTGATGTGTACAGTTTCTATAATTAGAAACTGTTTGGCGTCGCGGCAGAGACTTCCTTTCGTAAAAAAACTGCTCGGCTTAACTTCTCTCGTAATATTCACTTCCCGATTTTCTTTTCTCTCATAATATTAACTTTCAGGTTTTCCTTTCTCTCATAATGTTTAACTTCACGACTTTTCTTCCCTCAGAATGATCACATCCCGACTTTCTGTCTCTCACAATGTTTATCATTCTGATTTTCCTTCTCTCAGAATGTTTAAAAGATGAAAAGTCCTCCAGGAACGTGGTATTGAAGTGAAATTATCGAATATAGAAGGATTTCTTATAAGGAATTAGAACAAATTTTCAGAAACTTTCAATATAAGTGTCACTTAAAGTACTAAAAATTTTACTGTGAACAACTAAATAACACGTGTAATTTAGTAGAATATAGTCATTTGTTTACACGATCAAGTCATACATCGGACGGTAACATCTGAAATACTGAGTCGTAGTGTATGAATTTTCAGCTTTAGATAATAAAATTTCGTCTTTCTGAAATAAGTAGGCCCGTTTCCGAATAAAAGACAAGGTAAGAACTGTAACTTTTACAGAAAAATACCCTCCCCAGTTGCTTGATGAGAAGCTATTTCTTGAACGCGCCGATAAGCTCAGTGGTTATATGTATAGATAATATCTACAGCGTCGTTGCCTGGGGAGAATACGTGGTGTGGACAGAGGGATTTACCTCGGTCTGGCATTGAGTGCCCAAGATCCCTATTGATATTCCCGCTATCTTGGGGACGAGCCTTGCAGCACAACATCCCCACAACGACTTAAGACCACAATCCCCGTCTTATGTCCTCAACATGGCTGGCTTCATCTAGTGCTCGCATCAAAGACTTCCTAAGAACTAGACATTTTTCTTTTTGTTATTTTGTAGCTTGGCGGATGTCAAGATAATTAGCGTATATTTTAAACGCTGGCAACATTTTGTTTCTCGCCCTTCAACCAAAATTAAATGATGTGCGATGACACAAAATTGACAAGTTATCGGGTAATTCAATGCGAATGTATCAAATATTCACTCGTTCTAAGGCAACTTTAAAGCCTATTTTAATTATTTTAGGCTATCAGCGCCGTACTTACAAAATCGGAAAAAATGATAAATTATATATAAAATGGTAAATTAAATAAATTAAATATAAAATCTTTATTAACTTACGCAATTTCAGTGTTTGTGTCTTTTTATCGTGGTAAATTTTGTTATACCATGATTATTTATCGAGAAAATATCATTTTTTCATTTTAAGGAATTGAAGAATTACAAGGATTCTGAAATTTTAATAAAATTCGCATTAAGGAAAATTTTCCAATAACGAAGTTAATATTCATTATTCCTAACCTGATTTCTCATTCATATTGAAACAGACTGGCAAAACGCGACAGATTTAATAAAAAAACGCGTTTATTTGATGTGAGGGCCAGCGATCGTATTCCCCTCACATGTGATCCCACCACATTTGTTCTCCTTCCATGTGTTCCCCTCACATATGTTCCCTTCGTACATGTTTTCCCCTCACATGTTTCCCCCTAACATGTTTTCCTCTCATATGTTTTCCCTCACATGTATTCCCCTCACATGTGTTCCGATCACATGTTTTCCCCTCGCCTGTATTCCCCTCACATGTATCACCCTCACATGTGTTCTCCTCACATGTGTTCCCCTCACATGTGTTCCCCTCACATGTGTTCCCCTCACATGTGTTCCCCTCACGTGTTTTACCCTCACATGTGTTCCCCTCATATGTTTTACCCTCTCATGTGTTCCCCTCACATGTTTTACCCTCACATGTGTTCCCCTCACATGTATTCCCCTCACATGTATTCCCCTCACATATGTTCCCCTCACATGTGTTCCCCTCACATGTGTTCCCCTCACATATGTTCCCCTCACATGTGTTCCCCTCACATGTGTTCCCCACACACGTGTTCCCCTCACACATGCTCCCCTCGCACGAGCGTCCCCTCTAATATATATCCCCATGCTGAAGGGCTAAAGTTCTATTATGAAAGCTCCTCCGCAACGAGCTACAGAAATTAAATTAAAACCTCAGCTGCGCCCCAACTGACGGGTGCTCGAAATAGAAACTGTTTTCTTTCTCAGCAGAATTTTTGCCCGCGGGTTTCAAGCATCCGCAGTTTTTTGTGTGACTTAAAAGTAGCAAGCTTTTTATATGCCCCCGGGCTGATCGATGGCTTTTTCTCTCCTCTTGGTCACGTGCAGTGGTTTCCGTGTGACATATTGAAAGCCACGTGGAAATGATTCCGAGAAATAATATAAAAAATGTGATAATGGATCGTGAATAACTCATCAATTTCTCAAGTAAAGACAATGAGAATTAATTCTAAGAGTTTTTGATCTTATGTTGAGAATAAAATGGAAATGGTAACCCATGAAACGGATGTTCCGATTAGTTCAGGTTATTATTGTTCATCCAAATTTCGAAATTATCCCGTTCGAACCGAAAAATGTATAGAAAACACATGACTTTTAACTCGATTTATGGTATCTTATATATTGTAGCCGTTCGCTCACATTGAAAATTTTCAAATAAATCTGCCAGGCTTTTCGTCTAGTGTAATGAATGTTCGGGTACGAAAACCAAATCATTCAAAGTACTAACCGTAAGCACGAAAATCCACACAAACGAAAATACGATAGAAAAATCCAAACTCTAACGCGTTGAAATGTGGCCGCCCAACTACTCTGAATAATTACCTTTTGGTGCCGTGCCGAAAAAATTGCTTCGGGTGTAAAATCCTCGCTAGGCCGTGAAGCTAAAACTACAGGGCTTCGTAGCCTATATTGTTTATCAGGATTAATTAATTATGTGACAGAGCAGGCTTGAAACTTAGCTTTACAGAGAGGCGAGCTCCACGCAAAACTTTGCTACAAAAAAAGTAATGCCGGGAACATTTGCCTAATGAAATCCCCTTGCGAAAAACGTTTCATTTCGTAGAAGTGCTGATACCCTTGGCAGGAAAATTATTTTGTTTACACAAAAAATTATAAATTTCAGGCGACACAAATAGCGAATTAAAATAGACTGAAGTTGAATTTAAGAGATACCGCCTCGAGATGCAGCAGTGTGACATATGTTGTTTTCCAAAATCGGTAAGAAAGATATATCTCTTTCTTGTAAAAAAAGAGCAAAGTATTTGACACCAAATTCATTTTTCGTAAATCTTAATCAATAATAAAAAAGCGTCTTTAATACCTTAAGATTTGGGTTTGGGATTTAATTATCGTTTAAATATTTAGAGAGTTTTAGCATCGCTAACACAAATGAAAATCGTTCATACTTTGTTGTTATACATATTTTTTATACCTTATTTATAGTTGTGCTTAACCGAGCTGTAATATTAGTCTAGTCGACCGCGTGCCGCTCGTGCGAAAATGTCCCTAGCAATAAGCGAACGTGGGGCAAATTTAGGGGTAATTCCCTCGTAATGATGCACCTCGGGGTAAGATAATATTCCATAATTACCCTCACGGGTGACCGCTTATTAATGGCCCCTGATTAAATTAGGCAGAACTTCATTATAAGGAAACCGGAACGCGGACATTATTTTCACGGATAAAAATGGCCACGACAGCTTTGATGGAGATGTTATTAACTTGTCACAGCACAACCCCGGCGGACAAGTTCATTCAGATGTAATATTCTTTCCTGGTCTTGCTTAAATTAATTGCTCATCGCACGATTGCAATACATGACTTTAAAACTCTGTTTCATGCTCGGAAGGAATGATATGATTTTAATTAACGTTGCGTCGAGCGGCGGTCGCTCAAAGTGTGTTACGAGTGCGCAATAACGCTTTTTTTCAGGAAAAATTTAGGTATATTACTTATTGGATTGAATTTTTTCTCTGCGTGTTAAATGCTGAAACTTATTAGAAATAAAAATATTTATTTATAAATATATTGTTACGTTCAGTATACTTGATGTTCGTAAGAGCATTTTATCCAATAATCTTCTACGCTAGGACTGGCGTAAACTTGACTGGCGTAAATTCAGATAAATGAGAAAATTTTTTATCCAAATAATGATGCACTATTTATTCTTGGGTGGGTCATCCTGACTCAGATCGGAACGGCAAAAAAGCGTTTTAGTGCTACATCCCCTCTCTGCTTGTGGGTGGGAAAGAGCGTCACTGTCTGGACAATATTATCCATCCAATTTTCTAAGTGTATCTGAGCATTACTAGACACTGGAGAATAGGAGACATTATATTTATTTAAAATGGTCCGGCCATGGAGCTGTTAGAGTCATTGAATAACATCAAGTGTGGATCTAGGAAATGCTAATATTGGCTAACATGGTTGATTAATGAACATTTGACTTTACCAGTGAGCAATTGGGATATGTTTGATTGATTTGAAAATTTTTAAGTATTCCGGGGATGTTTTGGCCAGTCAACACAGCTGACTAGGAGTGAGTTGTTGAATCCTTTTTTTTCGGCAAATATTTTGTAGTTATCTAGGAAATATTAATTATTGTTAACACGTCAGCCTAGTAATATTGGAACTCATCAGTGAGCTGATCAGGTATTTTTTATATCAAGTGGCTATAAGGGGAAATATTAAAGTTGATTGACACGGCAAACTAGGCACATATGGCCTAAAAAGCGTGCTAGCTGATTAGATTTAGTAATTTGCTTGGAAACAATAGTAAACAGGGTTTATAAGCAGCACGAATATATTTTTGGTTAATTTAAAAAATTTCAAAAATTTACCTCTATAAACTCTGTAGGAAATGTTACAGTTAGTTGAGATGGCAGACAAAGGGAATATAAAAAGTCATTATATCCAGAAGTCAGAAATATTCAGAAGACAAAAATATTCAGAAGACAAAAATATCCGCCCGTCAAAAATACCCATTAGTCAAAAGTTTTCAAAAGTCAAAAATATCCAAAAATCAAACATATCTAAAAATAAAAAAATACCCATAAGTCAAAAAATACCAAAAATTCAGCACTTAGCCTCACCAGTAAGTTGGTCCGGCATGAGGGCGCGCTTATTAAGCACCAGCATGGCCAGCACAGCAGGACCGCCCCAGGCCAGGCAGTGCATGTACACAGCCCCACGCAGCAGACGCGCGTGACCCCAGTTACGCAGCACGCCGCCCAACCAACAGCCGCACAAAATCGCGAACCTGGAGGGCGATTACAAGGTTTTTAAATAAATTTTATCATTTTAAGACTATTTTGCACAGTTGCTCTAAACTTGTATGTGCAAAACGTATATTTTCACTAGCTACCGGGCCCTTATAAAAACTTATATTTCCACTAGCCCAGTGGTTACAGTTCAGAGTACCAAGATTGGAGCAGAGAGGCGCGGGTTCGATCCCAGCTCTGTGCGCCAGTTTCTAGTCAGAATCGGCAAGGAAACCGGGCGGTTAATCACAGCAGAATTGTAGCAGTGAGTTGTGAGTTCGAGACCGCAACAAGCTGTGAATGTTCTGTGATGTTGAGAATCGGAGACAGGTCTACGGCCTAATAAACGCTGAAACCGCTATTATTATTCTTCTATTCTACCGCATTGATGGTATTTTGGATTGATCTGATCGGCAGATCAGTGAAAATTCAATACTCAATATCGGATTTTTCGGCAATTATAGCAATGATGGATTTGATGAATCACCAAATTGAATATCAAAGTGAAATTAATAGTCGATGTATAAATGCTCTGCGTGATAACAGGATTAAAATGTTGTATATATTTATTTCTTACAAGCTCAGTCAGAGTAATATAGCGTACAACAAATTATAAGTCGGAATATTTCTGCTTTCTTAATATTGACAATTCGTTAAATAATTGTTTCAGTTAATAAAAAGCGGTTTAATATTATTTATTGTCATGTAAATGTGGTTCAAAACTATACAAATTCGTTTAATTTCGACTTTTTTAAACAGTTTCTCTAAGAGTTTTTCAAAGACATGAACATTTTTAACCGCTTATACAAAATAATACCTAATAACACATCTATTTAAAAGGCGTAAAATATGCAATTATTATGGCACTTAATAATACAGAAGCAATAAGTTTTCAGATGATAAGTCGCCGTCACGATAACACTCCTTCATATCGCCTAATGTTTGTCATCGGTCAACTGATAACGTTAATAAACGTCGCACAGAGATTGTCAAACCGCACTTCATTTTGTCGCTAGAGCCACCTTCTTTGTCGCTTCCACTCACTCATGATAAAATGTCAGAAATAAAATTTATTTCTGAACAGCGTAAATTAACAGTATTCCTTGAAAAAGACCATTCCACAAAGCACAGACTTTGAAAAAAATTTCACTATGTTCGTTCCAACTGATTGCATTATATTTTATTTAAAAATTACGTGCGATATGTTTATGCAAAATTCTTCATTTTATTAAACGCATTTAATCAAACAGTCACTTCTTGATGTAGACTCATCAATCTAACTTCGCATGACGATTGTACTCTTACAAGCAGTAAAGTGATTGGATCATATTGTCCATGACATGGCACACCTTTTTACCATTTTGCATGAGCAGAGGGCGGTCTTAGCCCTTATAAGCCCTCTTCCCGGGCCAAACTGGGTCATGATGATCCACACAAGAGCAAGAAAGCATCGATATTTAAACAAAATGTCACTCATTTCACTGAGTGCATGTCTTGCATGCTGCGGCACCCGCCTGGCAAAACGATTATGAAGCTCAGCTCGACGTTGCACTTGATCCTTAATTCGCTTAATAGGAGCATGCATTTCATGTAAATTGTGTAGGGAAATGATGGAGGAAAAGTTTACTCTCTTCAACGTGATTGGCAGTCGCTAGAAAAATGCAGCAATGAAGTTATCAAGTAGAAAAAAATAATGCGTATTGTACTGGCGGGTAATTAAAATATTTTTTCCATGCCTAACAGTTTTCCTGTACAGCTTTCTATTAAAAAAAATTCCATTTATGTTTGTTTTTTGGTCCTGCCCATTTTGGAATGATGAGCGCACATACAAATAAACTGTTGCCGGTGTTAAATATAGCAAACAAGTCAAATTTTTATGACCTGTGCGATCAAACGACATAGTTAAATAATACATAATACATAATATAAACCAGTGACTTCACATATCGCACTCTCACCACATTGCTGCAGCGTTGGTAAAATAGTAGAGCAGAAGGAAGACCAAAACACAGGATACATCCAGAACAGCCTTCTCTTTGCTGGCGTAGTTAGCAGAAAAGTTTGCAATCTCTGTGCTTGATGTTGCGGAACAACTCGTGTAGCTCGGCCCAAGTCCCAACCGCATCAAGTACCCGGCGGCTACCATGCAGTAGCAGCCTACCATGTGCAGTATACAGCGGTCCGGATATGTGAACGCGCTCGACTCTAAGAAACTGTAGCGAGTGCGGGATCTGCATGATGGGATAATTTAAGTTTAAAATAACGATAATGTTTTAAGAAGATAAAAGAGTTGTTGATAAATGAAATAACACTATAAGATAAGTTGTAAGAAATAACAACTATAAGATAAGATAAAATAAATAACAACTATATACATGTAGTACTTTAAATTTTCAATGATACTGGCACAAAAAAATAAAAAAAGCGTACATATATTTCACTTTTAAAATTTACATGAAATGATTAAGATTGAATTATCTGAAGGTAATTAAATCTATTTTTGAAAGCAAGAAGCCACTCACAGGAGGAAAGTGACGAGAGTGAAAACCGTGATGCCAAAGCACACCACGCTCCATATGGCCATCCATACACTAGCAAATTCCTTGTCTTGTGCGGAAAAAGGAATAACCCTGAGGGCCATACCTCGACACAGGCATTCTTGTCCGACACATGAGGCTTTATTTCTGTTTGGCGCAAGTTCGGCTGGGGAACTTATGGAGCGCTCGGGAGGCTCCATGCACAAGTTTCCTGCCGAGTTTGATACGGGAAGTTTCGAGCAATCTAACTCATTCGGCCAAGAATATCCAAAAGTCATCATAATCGGCAAACACTGCGCACGCACCGAGCTACAAAAGCGTTGACACGGAAGAACAAGTCCCGATGGACTGCACATTGGAGCATAAAAGCCGCAGAGAAGTAGTCTTAGATGCGGAGAACAACCATATTGAAGCAATGGATTGAAAGAATTTATTGATTCTTCTGCATTTATCTGACTTTTCATTCCTAAAAAGTTCGGAACGTACGTTTCGTTGTAGCCGAGTTTTTGGCAGCTGGATACCGCTAGTGATGTGCATTTTTCAGGTATTTCCTCTCGATAGGTTGCCGCTGCTGCAATTTGGGTTGAAGCAGCTAGCATCGCTGACACAAATAGTGCCAAACTCATTTTCCCTCGCAGCCAAAGTCACGTTTTCCTAAGAACTCATAATTCTACGTGAGAAAATGTAATTTAATTAATCCCCATAGCAAACCACATAGGACATTGTCTGGATTACAATTCAAGACATAATTAAACCCCTTTTTCAATGAAAATTAACAGGATTCTTATTAAGATGAGACAGCGTAATTGCACTCGACATAAATTGCGAACACCCACGTCTTGCCACGCGCGTGTCGGCGCAGAACTGAGGCAGTTAGGGCGGCACTGGCGCAGCGTGACTGCGCTGTCGCCGCCTGCAAGCGAGCTGGCATTGGGACAGCCGCAGCAGCTGTTGTGTGGCTTTCAAGTGATTTTTTCTCCTGAAATAATAAGGTAATTTTTTCAGGATGTTTCAAGAGAAGAAAATAATTCGTTATTTTTTATTTAACCATTATTTAACAAGAGAGGGAATTTTCTTCTCTTACAATGATCAATGGCGAAGTTAATTTCTTCAGGAGGATTTGAGGGAAAAAAAGTATTCTCTCTTTAACTTTAATTAAGAGAAAAAAAGGCAAACAACAAAAGATATGATCTGCATTTCGACTTAAAGATGAATCTAACCTTGGCTGCCGCATTTCGCACTGTAATATTATCAACATTCATCAAGGGCGTTATTGCAATTAATCAACATGCATGGGCTTCCAAAATACTAAATTTATTTTTTTTAGAAGTCATACAAAAAGAATAGAATTTGTATGAGTGTTAAATTTCAGTGAATCAAAACTGTAAGCATAGGAATCTTAAGAATGTTAAGAAAATGGCACCTAGAAGAAGAATTGTGTGAAGATAATATATTCACGTGATTATTAAATTAGAATGACAGAAATAGATACTTAAAGGTGATCACTGACCATTTTTGCACGATTTCGAGCTTGAGGTTTGATAAGTGTTATTCTGAAAGCCTTCAATGACGAGTATTTTCATAGGACATTTTTGCATCTAAATTCAAATCTCCATGAACAATTTACAACGTCGCTTCCGTCACGACGTCATCACACAGCCCGCATCACGAAGCAGACATCACACAGCACACATCACGAAGCAGACATCACGCAGCACACATCACGGAGCAGACATCACACAGCCCGCATCACGAAGCAGACATCACGCAGCACACATCACGGAGCACATCACGAAGCAGACATCACACAGCACGCATCACGGAGCTGACATCACACAGCACACATCACGAAGCAGACATCACACAGCACGCATCACGGAGCAGACATCACACAGCACACATCACGAAGCAGACAGCACACATCACGCAGCACGCTATACGGAGGCGGAGTACGTATAAATTTGAACTTCAAGTACGAAGAAAAAAATTAACGATGTTTGAACTTTGCATTTGTGAATAAATTGTTCAAATTGCCTTAGTCTTCAAACGCAGAAATAGGGCATTTTATTTATTAGACAGTAACTATGTTCGTCACAAAAGTATATTTAATTAATATCTCACAGACTACAATATAATCACAATGTTCCAATGTTTTAATCGCGATTATATCCTCTTCCATTGATAAATTTGAAGACTGACACATTTGTGTCAGTCATGGATGTTACAATGACCTGAAATATTAGGAAGGGCCAATTGCCGCCGACCGTTCTTTTATGGTATATGGTCTTCCGGTAGCTTGGGAAAAGCTTCACATTGAATTTTATGAAATAATAAGCCTCCGGCATAAAAAACTTCATACTATGGTCGAAACGAACTCATATCCAATTCTCTGATGTATACGTCATGACAGCAGCTTCATTCAGCTCAAACAGAATCACTTGCAAACAATTCACTATTTCCTCTCGTATGCAACACTCTTCACTATCAAATCATCCAAATGTATCTTTTAGAGCCCGTAAAGCAATCATCTACTATATTCATTCTGAAAGTGTATGCTCATTATTCACATTTAAATTATTGGCAGAGGCGGGAATGCATCCGCCAGTAGGAGCGCTGCAATTCTGTTGACACACGAGCTATCGGGTCATACCTTTTAGATGCGTTCGATCAATCAGCTTATTTAAATTATATATTCGATTTTAAATACTCCGACTCAGGAAAAATATTAGTGATTAGAGGCAAAAAATTTTGATTCTTGAAATATCTTAATATGCAAGCCTCGGAGTTTCTAAGAAAAATTTTATAAAATATAGTCCGTCTTTTCACTTACCCGCGTGCCTTCAATGACTTAAATTAATTAAGCTGATTTTTTTCTCACCCTAAACGTAATCCAATATAAATACAACTTCCAGGTTTGATCACCACTTGTTAAGGTATGCATACATTCACCACCAGCACCTTTATTTTCTCGCTTGCGGTACAACAAATTAAAATGAATATAATTCGAAATGCAGTTTAGCCGCAATTGAAATGATCGCAAACTTATCGCAGCTGAAAATCCCTGCAATATCGCTAAGCAGCTCAAAAATCATATCAATGTTTATATACAATGTTCTTGATTGGTATATCGGAATTTAAATCAGTAAATCAGAATTTTAAGCATGTCTTGTTCACTTATTTTCTTCTGTTGGAATTTTGATGACACGTCCGTAGCCCCGGACCAAAATAAAATATTAATGAAATATGCCGAATTCGCGTAACTCCGGCATTCTGCACCAAAAGTGGATGTTAGCAACAAAGCCAACAATGTCAGTCTACTAGTCTAGACATTTTTACTGTTGAGATGAGAGAATTTTGAGTTGAGTTGTGATCATTTTCTAGGGCAGGGGTCTCCAAACTTTTTTCACCAAGGGCCAAGATCAAGCTTACTGAGACCTTCGCGGGCCGGAGAAGTTCGTGGGCGGAGGGGAGGG